CGCGGAAACCAACTTTAAATTAGGGTAACCACCTCCCAGTCAAATTATGAGTAATGCAATCTCAGTACTTTTTAATTAAAGAATAGTCTTGTCAATAACTTATGAGAGGGACTCTGCATAAATTTCACTTTATAAATTTGCCTCTTCCTTCACATCAAACTAGGGAGTTTCCTTTTCACATCTTCCACTTCTTATTCCTTGAACCTATTTCAATTGACATTTTTTATAGTGAAGAGAGTTTCCATGATATGATAGACATATGTCCGCTGTGTATTGTGTGCTTTCTTAAAAGTCTGTCGGTCGTTATTTCCATGTCCATGTCCATGCAAATACATGTACTAACCTTTCCTTATCTCGTATGCATCATTAATCTCTTGAGTATAAGCACCACACAGTAGAACTAGTCGTGAGTTCACGGAATGTTTAAACATTACCAAAAAATATAAATGCTAAAAATGATTCATTAAGAACCATTTAGTATCAACATGAACTAAGGGGTAAGGGCATTAGCATTTTCTCATGGTTTACGGGTGTAAATAGAAAGAATATAGGTATTACATTGTTTCCATTTGTTTTCTTCGTATCAGTATAGATACAAGGATGGACCTTGTCTGAACATTGTACTCAATATCCACATTCGGTAATTTGGACTCTTACTGACTTGAGCTAATTGATAGGATCATTTGCATCCATTTACATACAAAAGTCGTAATTCTATAATTAGGAGTTTAAGTGATTAACAAATAAATTTTGGATGCTTGGATTTCAAAATCAACAAAAGAATACTTTCCAAGAGGATAATGTACCATGTCCATCTGCGCAATGCTGCGTATTCCCCTCAACTTCAGACTCAATCCTGTAAAACATGGGTGCATCAGTGCATTAGACAAACAGAAGACATATAACGAGTAAGCAACTCAAACCTCTCAAGACTATGAATGCTTAAATTAAAATTCCAAGTGATAAGAGTCACAGATGCAAATGAGTAGTTCTAACCTGTCCAAATCATATCCACCCACTCCCAATACAAAATCCATATCAACATCACCAAACTTTGCTTGCTTTATTTGTGCCATCCCATTTATATGCTACAGGAAAAAACATATGACGTTTGAATTTTCAAAAACTTCACATAGCATTTTCCTCATTTGTGTAGTACATTACACGAACATCTATGAATTTAATCCTACCTTAATTCTCTTAGTCAGTGCCTGCAATTCAGCCTCGTTCACCAAATCTATCTGCCAATGCAAGAAAGATACAAATAATAGGAGCTTATCAGGTATTTTCAAATGATTATGTACATTATAAAGAATTAAATATATAATAATTAATGGTGGCCAGTCCAACAAAATTCAGAAAAACTTATTTGCTGCTGCATGTGCATGCTTGCCTTATTTAAAATAATGCGGTCTGCATATGCTATTTGTTCTACTGCCTCATTCACCACCCACCGAGGCTTCACTTCATTCAAATGTTGTGTAGCATGCTTACAGTCCACAAGAGTAACTACACCATCAAGTTTTATATGTTGCGCAAGCAGTTCATCGGAATTGAATGTTTCAATGACAGGAGAAGGCTTTGCAAGACCTGGAGAGTAGCCACAGCTTTACATTAGTTATGTTTAATGATTTCAGGAGACACGACTGACAAAGAGAAGTAATCACATTACAGTGACCAGTAAATTATAAATTAAAATGAGGTATATCTGCTACAAAAATTAGAGCATTTAGAGAACTACTGTGCATGAATTTGCTGTTGCCAAGAACATATGCAATTTATAAACGGAATCAGTACTCCTGTTTAATAGGAATATAAGTTAAATAAATTAAATTGTACAACTTGATCAGTCAAACAGTTTTTCAATGCCTCAGCTCTCTGGGGAAATACCATTGCATGCTAGAATTTACATGCATAAAGCTAAATGTCTAACTTTAGAATAGGCGAGCAAACTTGATCACTTGATCAATGGCAATAGTCTACAAATTACATAAATTTTATCTACAATCAATTTTAGAAGACAGACATTATGATCGACTATGACAACATCCGTTAGGATGGTCCACCATCTGTTGTTCTTGAACAGTCATGGAAGGAATATTCCTACCATATCAAGGAATACCCTTGACACCATTATCACATGTAAGGCTTACTGCTCCACAAACGAAGGCATATGAGAAAGTTTCAGGAGTAACGGAAGAAGCAAATGTCTTATAGATGGTTTAAAGTTAAAAAGGTCAATAATACTTCCTATGATGTGAGATCACAAGAAAGCTGAAGACTAACATTGGGGAGTCCCACTGCACAGTTTAGTAAAGTGGAAAAGATATGTTATTGTACCTGAGAACATTAAAGATTTTGCCACAATTAAGAAACCGACCACACACTTGTTTTTAAAGTGCTGGAGCATCCAAGTGTCACTAACATCATGGACCACAAAACTTCATGATAAGTGTACTTTAAGAGCCATATCGCGATAAATTAAACTTCCCTAAATACCTTATTTTCTAATTCTTAGCTATTTTATATCACCAAACTTAATATTAACAAAACTAGAACGAGAACTTATCAGATTGCTTAAGCTATTGTAGGATTAGATCTATAAGATGATATTGATAGCAGATTATCATAATTTATTTTCTTTCTGAAAGGTCTACAGGAAAATATGAAATGAGACAAAAAGTAGGAAAAGTTTACGTGACAAAACTTTCATTGCTTCAGAAGGGAGCTCTACCTGTCGTCTCTATGACAATGTGGTCGAACTTATCTCGTTTTTTCTTGACCAACTCCAGTAGCATTTTAACTAGGTCACCTCTGACAGTGCAGCATAGACAGCCATTATTCACCATTAAAATGTCATCAGACGAAGTGGAATGGCTAGCTACCAGTGAACTATCTATGTCTACCTCCCCAAACTGCCATTGCAGGAAACAAAAGTCAAATTCTGCATTCCATGTACACAACAGATTATATCCAGAAAAATCTGTTGGGCAACAGAAAGAGAGAAGATAGTATCAAATATCAGAAAATATTTGCATATGAACTTCCTACACAATTTCTAACATTCATCAAGTGTCCTTCAATATATATGTGTTTTAAAATTGTGGATGCAGCTTGTATGTCTGAGATGTACATACAATCTATCATATTTAAGCTTTGGACAACTACTCAGTGAAGCTGCCGAAATGGAAATAAAGCTTTATAAAAAGAAAGCAATCATACACTCTTGGTTTACAGGTATAACCCATCTGGTTAATCCCTGCAACCTGACACTGGTTTTGGTGGAAGAGTATACCTCTCTGGAGGAAAATGATTACTGATAATTCAAAAAGGAAATGAGCAAAGTTAACAAAGTTACAATAATTCCTACCGTAAGAGTTAATTAGGATTTTGTGCAGTATAAATTTATTTTAAAAGCACATTATGGTTTATTATAATTTGTTATGAGCTTAATTACGAATAAGTTGTTTTTTTTAAACAAGGCTGTGTTGGTATACAAACACTTTCTTTTATGCTCCTCATATGTGAGTCACAATTTCTCGTATAACATACTTGAGATGCATGCACATGTGGCCGTATTTGTTACTCATTCCGCATTTTGGCCCACAATATTGATAAAGTTTTCATACATAGATGCATGAAGAATACGAGTTACTGTTTTAGGCGTGTGTTTCATGCCATCTCAGATTGTGATATCCATATATTTTATAATTTTATTAAAGCAAAGAGGTCAGATGGCTCTAAATGTTGTCTTCTATGAGGATATCTTGGGTACCTTTATGTGAAATCCTCACATGATGTAATATGTGGTTCTCCTGTTCACGGGCAATAACATTGGAGTCGCTTTCTACAGGTTGATGTGTACACCTGTATCAACCAGTTTCAGCATTAACTGCACTTGAGCAGTGGCTTAACCTGATTATCTAGTGCATATGCATAAATTTATTCCAAAACATAAACCGTGCAGTGATTATTTATTTGACCATAGACTATTGGCTAGTGCTTACTATCTTGTAAGAAGGGACTACTATCGCCTACAACATCCTTGTCTAGTTCAGTGAACAAAAAGATGGGCTAATCAGGTAATTTATCACATATTTCATCAAGAATGAAAGAAACTTCAAAAATCACCAATTAACAACATTTCGAATTCATTATACACCCTAAAATTAATGGTAGGAATCATTACCTCATTCTCAATAACAGCAATCCTCTTCCCATGTTGAGAGGTCAATATATGGTTTAATAGAGTTGTCTGCACAAAAAATAAAATAAAAAGTAATTCACATGCACAACAATTACCATTATTTACCAAACTTCACAAACTGTAAAGAACTGAATATCATATTTTTACATAAAAAAAGGCGATACCTTTCCGGAGCCAAGGAATCCAGTGATGATGGTGGCCGGAACCCTCGAATCGAGATCGAGCGCAGATGAGATGGCCTCAGCAGAGACCATAGACCTCGAATTCGAGGGTCGGCTGATTTCTGATCTCTTGTTAGGATTAAGTTGTTGGGAGAAGAAGGAATGGAGGTTTCTGATGCATTGCGAGATCGCCGGCGTTGGGAGGGGCTCTAGAGCAGATGAGAAAGAGGGATGAATCAATTGATTTACGGCTCTCGATGCCCTAGGGATTAGTAATCGAGCGGCCATTCCTTAAACCCAAAATTTGAGCAGTGCGCAGAGATTGCGGTGGTATCTTAAACCCTAGCGACCAGTGGTTTGTGCAAAAGATAACTTAAACCCTGGTTTATTTTCTGGAATTGGTAATTATTGTTTGAGATCTTTCGATATTACTCCTTCCAATCTTTGCAATTATGCAAATTGGCCCCTCGAATCTTAAGAAGAACACAAATTAGTCCCTCAATAACCAAAATACCCTCAGCTTATGTTCTGCCCGTGGAATCATTATGTTCTCAGAAGCTTAAAATGAGGGGGCATTACAGTCATTGAGAGATCAATTTGCGATCTCTTAGAATTCGATTACTTATGAGCGATTTCCAAGATATGAGAGACTGATATGGAATTGTTAGAGATTTGAGGACTAATGTCTAAAAAACCCATAAAGTTTGGTCTACTGTTAATTTTGTAAGAACATATTACATTGAGTTCTTTCTACCTATATATACCTCTTACCAATCTATCGTATTTACAGAATTAGCCTTCAATTCTAAGAATTATAATTTTTCTTACACATATGGTTTTACTTGTTACCGTTTCTAATTTTAGTTGTTACCGTTACTAATATACTTTTAACTTAAAAGTAAACCCAATAGTTTGTGATCAAATTTGTTATGGAGAGAGAAACATTGGAGGTTAAGTATATTTTAACGAGGAGAGTAGGGAAGTTTTGGAGGGAGCCGACAAGTCAAAGTGTGCTCATTACTAGTGATGGGTTTTTGATATCTGCTTCCTAGCAAGTCATAATCATGAGTTTAGCATTAAATAGGTGGAAAGGAGAAAGGACGTAGAAAAAAAATTTCGTTGCTAATGAAGCAGACGTCGCATCACTATTAAGCAGAACGATACGCACAGGTTTAATGAGAAAGTGGAAAGCAGGAGAGATATAAAGTTGTTATTTTTTACATCTTATTTATTCCTCTATAATAACGGGATGATCCAAGATTCACTATTCATACTACAGTAAATAATACAGTGAATTACTATAGTATTGTTATCGTAACACGGACAGGATGATCCAAGATTCACTATTCATTCCACAATAAATTACTGTACGGCAGGTGGGGCTGTAGCGTTAAGAACATCATTGTAGTATTTATTACTGTAGTTCAAACGGAATACTGCAGCATTTTAAAAATATTACCGCAGCATTAAAAAATGTTACTATAGCATTTTTTTAAAAAAATTTACTGTAGCACGCACAAAAAATGTATTTAAATATAGAATTACTGTAGCAGAAATAAAAAATAAAGGTCGTGCTTTGCACGTGGTGCACACTAGTCTATTTGAGATTTTAAGGGCATGAAACGAGAGGACGGGGATAAATTGGTAAATAGGCAATGCTGGAGGTAAGGGGCTGTTTGGTTGGTCAAAATAGTGCAGAAAGTGACCCTTAGAAAACCGACGCAGAAAATTTTTGCTATTTTCCCTCACAATCAGCTGTTTGGTTTGTTGGCCTTCTTGTTTTGATGATGATTTAACAAACAATTTGCATCTAATATTGTTTGTCTGGTGTTTGTGTTTTGTTTTTTATTGTAGACAAACAATATGTTGGAGGATGGATGTATTGCGCCATAACGATCATATCAAATGGAGGTTGGCGGAATAGTGGTTGAAGCATTGCTATTCAAAGTTGAAGATCCAAGTTCAAGCTTCATCCAAGTTTATCAAGTTGAGCTACAATGAAGATCAAGATCAAACTTGGGTAACATTAGCTTAGGTAGGCCTGTCCATCCGGACCGGCCCGGCCCAAAAATCCGGGCCCGGGCCCAACCGGGCTAGGTTCCGGGCTGGCCTGAATTTTTTTTCAATTTTTTTTATCAATTTTTTTAAATTTTATTTAAATTTTAAATTATACAAAAAAAAAGACAAGAAAAATTAATAAAAAACAATAATTTTATTAATCACTTAAAATGACATAAATTATAAATAAAAAATGATAAAAATAAATTCTTTATTAATAATTAATAAATCATTTATAAATTACAAGTACAAATTTATTTTGGAATTCATCGCATCACAATAGATAAGTACATCCCAACTAGGTTGGCACCTACTCACCTATATCATTATCATTTGTAACTATTTTTAAAATAATTCTTTACAAATTTTAAGCTAAGATATAAAAATTACAATTTGATTAATATTATTTATTCTTTATATCTATTTGTTAGTCCCAATTCTTCAAATTTATCTTCAATTCCAGCCATCTGATCGATGCATTGCGTTCGCTTCTCGTACCTCCACCACTCTTGTAAGCACATCACCGCTTGTACAGTATACGGATCTAAGCATGTCCTGTGATCATCGATTAAACGTCCTGCTGTGCTGAAGGCGGATTCCGAAGCTACCGTCGAAACCTGCACTATTAGTAAGTCACGAACCATGGTGGAAAGTATAGGATATGAAACTGATCCATATAATTTCCACCATTGCAAAATATCTAAAGCATTTCCTTGACATTTAAGTAAAGAAGCAGATAAATATTTATTTATTTCAGAAACCTCCAATGATGACGATTCAAGCCCAGATCCACCAGTTAGCTCAGCTACCATTACATACCTATCAAAACTTACACTTTTACCTCGGGATGAGCTCGAAGAAACCGAAGCTGTAGACTGTTGTGTAGCTACACCATGTCTAGCTACATACTCATCATATAAGGTTTGAAAATAATTTCTAATAGCTAAATGATGAGTAGTAGCAGTAAGGGTGGTTCCATCATCTAAGTCTATAATCTGATTACCATACAAGGATTGTAACAAACTTCGAAGGCCAATATCCTTCAAGCATGGATCAATAAGAACCCCCAAAACAAAAATATGAGGAATATGCCTAAAGTACTTATTAAATTTGCTCTCCATTTGAAAAATCATAGGTCCAAAAGTATCATCCATACGATATTTCCAAAAAAAATTAAATATTTAAAATTTGTAAAGCAGCTAAAGTAATGGTTGGATAATAACAGCCAGATAATAACATTGTAGCATCATAAAAAACTTGTAACATTTTATTTAAATTACATATAATTGTCCATTCATCTTCAGTTATTCCATAAATGCTACCAGAACTAGAACTAGAAGTATAATAGTTTATAAAATCAGTTATAATGTCTTTATATTCTATTGCTACACTTAACATTGCATAGGTGGAGTTATAATGTCTTTATATTCTATTGCTACACTTAACATTGCATAGGTGGAATTCCACCTATGGTCAACATCTTTTGGAATTAGTCTGGGCTTTACATTTTTTTCTTTTACAAAATTGTTTCTATCTTTTAAGTCTTTGTTCAGAAGCATTATGCATATAAGCAACTGTTCTAACCTTTTCCATCATGGGTTTAATTTCAGTAAATACACTTTGAACAATTAAATTTAAAATATGACAGATACACCTAATATGAAAAAGATCACCATGACATGGCAATGACAAAGTTGATCTGATAAAATCAACAGCTACATTGTTATTACTTGTCTTATCTAGTGAAAGAGAAAATATTCTTTCTAAAATTTTTAATTTCATAAGTTCTTCAATTATTAAATTTGCAACATTAATACCAGTATGTGACTCTTCTATTGCAATAAAAGAAACAACTCTTTTAAACATTTGCTAATTTTTATCAATCCAGTGTGTTGTGATACATAAATATCCAGTTTGTGCTCTAGATGTCCAAATATCAGAAGTTAAAGAAAATTTACAGTTTAAAGTTTTAAAATAAGAAATTATTTTTCCTTGTTCCTCATGATAATATTTTAAAATATCACGTTGACATGTTTGACGAGAAATTTTTTTAAATGCGGGATAAAAATCATCTCTAAACATATCTTCAAATTCATCATCTTCTACTAATTTAAAAAGAAGATTTTTAAGAATGATAAACCTGATTACGCATTTCCTGGCTCTGGCAGCATCATAGTTTCAACTACCGAGACTACCAGAAGAGGAGGGTTGAGAAATCATAGGTTGTCAGATATCACCTTGAGGAGTCTGGCCTTTGTTGTGTTTATCTAAATGGCGTTTGAGGTGGTTGGTGCCACTCTTATGATGAGCTTGAAAAATCTTACCGCACAACGCACACTTAGCCTTCTAGGTGAGGATCCTACCGTGTTCATCCTTGGTGACGTCGATCTTCTCGTAAAAATTTCATACATCGGATCTTGGCCTTTTAGGAGCTCTTGGTGCAGATTCGTTGCCCGGATTCGGGATTAACTTCTATAGGAGTAGACCCAGTAGGAGTAGACCCAGTAGGAGGACGCATTTCAAGATCGGGAGATAGGTTTTGCTCTTCATAATCAGATTCGGAAGCCATTTGATGAAATGATTAGAAAGTATAAGAGAGTATTGTAGGCGTCAAAAAATACTTGCAGACATCCAAATACCATTCAAAACAACATGCGAGAACAATTT